TTCTAGAAGTTGACTGCCCCTCCATCAGCAGAACAACAATCCTGTGACATTTGACCGGCTAAGAGGTAGTAACTGTCTGAGGTCACCCATTGAGGCTTGTGGCTGAATCAAGCCGGTAAATCCAAAGTCCAACACTAAAAGCTAAACATGAAAGAAACATTGGAGAATACGTTAGGGAGTCCTAAGAAAAGTCCACTTTTCTCATTTTCTGTTGCGTCATGAAGGCATAAGCAGTGCAAGATTGTGACAGTTTTACTTTTGGGTAAGTTAGAAAGTATATCCTAATTTGTATTAAAAATAAACTTTATGAAGTAGATGTGCAAAAATGCAGCTATATAGTGACAGTAGAAAACGTTGTTAACAATTCAGTGCTGCTAGATAGAACCCTCCTACTTGAACCTTTCATGAGTACTAAAGAGTACTGCTTGCATTCTGCAACAGACACATTCCTGGCTGCCTTTGGAATGCTATCTCCTTCATTTCAAGACTTGTTTAAGTGTGGCCAGACTGCTGTGTTTTATCAGACTTGTGGCTTGGATTACTGCCTTCTGCAGTGTTTGCTGCTGTTATGAGGTAGACTTGGTTTTGTGGGTTTTGGGTGAGAGGCATTAAAATGTCTAGTTTTCAAATACTTCCAAATTGTTGTATCTTAAACACATACATTACAAATCAACTTTCCACCTGTTGTACAACTACCTCAAGCAGCTGGATGTTCCTATCAGAAAGTGCAACTACCGCATAATAAATAATGTAGTAGAAGATTTGCATATGCTGACAAATAAGTCACCAGGAAGGGGCTTGGGCTGTCTTTGGCTAAACTGTTATGAACCTAAAAGTGGCCAAACTACAGCCTGTGTGGGCTTTAGACTGACAACCCGATTTCAACAGTGCTCTGCAAGCAATCTAGTCAGATCTCTGGCAGGAATTATAAGTTCCTTCCCAGGTGGCCAACTATGTCAGGAGAGAGGAAGAAACAGAGAGAAAGAGAAAGGAGATGGAGAAAGAGAGATAGCAGTCTTAATCACTTTGGCCACTGCTTCTACCCACTACTCACTTTAGCCCTTAACAAACTACTCCCAATGGAATGTGGGACCACAGAGCGAAAAGTTCTCCAATACCCCTCATATGGAAAATCAGGATGAGAAAGAAGTATGGAAAGAAACAAGCCCCGTTCAGGTTTTATTGTGCCCATTTTCATCAGCCTATGAGCAAGGCAGTGCCTAGTGCCATCCTTTCTATCATTGCTTTCCTGAAGCAGTATATCTGAAGAGGATGCAAGCAGGAACCCTAGAAAATCAAGGACTTTCCTTAGGTACAAAGCCAACGTGCGAGCAGAAACCTCTCCTATCACTTTCCATGTCAATGAAGTAATGATGGAGTGAGGGAAAAGAGAGCTGGAGGACAAGTCTGCTGGAGGCTGCATTTGGTCTCTTAGGGGCTACATGAAGCCCTTGAGTTGCATTTTGCCAACCAGGTAGTGGTTCACAACAAAAAGACAATTAATGGAAGAGGATGTTAAGGAGGTGAGAGTTTCTCCTTAGGATTACAGGAAGAAGAGAAAAACATTCAAGGAGAACATTCAGATCTCAGAAAGAAACTGTTTTTGAGATTCTTATTTAGAAGACCAAGATCTACAGTAGGTTTCCAAGTCAATATATTACCACAGTAAATATCTATGATTAACAAGGTCTTCCTTGCTTATTCCAAATTCTCATTCACCAGGAGGATTCTGGGAATTCTTGGGGGGGGGGAACTTCTTCCAGGACTTCCGCCCTAACTCCAGTTATTCAAAGGCTTAAATCTTGTTGCTTAGCACAGTAAATCACACTAGAGTAGGCCCATTGAATCAGTGGGGACTTGATAAGGCAGACCTTCCATAAGTTCCATTCATTCAAATGGGCATACTCTAGTTGTGACTTGCTTTAGAATAGTAAATGGAAAATGGCTAGCATTCAAATTCTCTCCTCCCCACAGCTGGTGTCTAGAAGTCCCTGTTTTCCTCTTCCCTTCCTGTTCCTTTTCATTTCTTTTTTTTTCTTTAAAGGCTTGCTGCCCTAAACTAGGACAGCTAGAGATGATCAAAGGGAAAAAAAAAAAGAACAAGGAATTGGCAGAGAAAAAGGAGGAGGAGGAGGTTTTGAATCAGCCTTGTTTCCAGATTGTTAAGGTAGCTCCGCTGTAACCATGCTTCCTGCACATCTGAAGGGCCAGAGGAGAGCTACCCTAACAAGGCAGAAACAAGGCTGACTGAAAATTTCCTCTCCTCTCTCTAACACCTTGCTCTATTGTTCCCCACCACCACCTTTGGTCACCTAGCTGTCCTCACATTAGGACAGCAAGCCTTTACAAGAAAAATAAAAAATTTGGAATGGAATGGAAGAGAAGAGTGGTAGAATATACCAGATGGGCGGGATATAAATCAAACAAATAAATAAATAAAATAAATAAGAGGAAAACAAGCAGACCTAGGCAACAGGTATGGGGACAATAGGATTCAAATACAGTGGTGCCTCGCATTACGATAGCTTCATTTAACAATGAAATCACATTCACATTACGATGAACTTTTTGCGATTACATTACGATGAACTTTTTGCGATCGCAAAACGATGTTTCCTATGGGGGAATTTCGATTTGCGATGATCGGTTCCCTGCTTCGGGAACCAATTCTTCACAAAATGACGATTTTCCAACAGCTAATTGGCGGTTTCAGAATGGCTGCCAGGTAAATAAAATGGCTCCCCGCTGTGTTTAGGGATGGATTCCTTTCAAGACAGGCAGCGAAAATGGCTGCCCTATGGAGGATGTTCACTGGACGGTGAGTTTTAAGCCCATCAGAACGCATTAAACAGGTTTTAATGCGTTTCTATGGGCTTTTAAATTTCGCTTTACGATGTTTTCGTTCTACAGTGATTTTGCTGGAACGAATTAACATCGTAATGTGAGGCACCACTGTAGTTAATAAGCTGCAAACAAGGCTGAATGCTTGTTCCACCACCACCCTGCCTCTGGCTCCTGTGTGGTCAGCTGAAGAAAATTAACCCAACTTCCTGGGTCTGATTTCACAGAGGATCCAATTGCACTTTTCCTGCTATGTATCCACACTCTCCTCATTTTTATGCCTGTATGTTTTGCTTACAGGCATAAAAATGAGCTATTTTTCTTTTAAGTTTGCTGAATTTGTAACTTTATGGTCATATATATGGCCATGTATATACAGTATGACCATAAAGTTACAAATTCAGCAAACTTAAAAGAAAAATACCTACATTCTGTAGGCCAATTGTACTATGAGACCATACTGTCTGTTATTTGTTCCATATTTTTATAATTAGATATACAGTATTGCCATGTTATTTGTTTACATAAAAGATGTATGTAGATAAATTAGCACACTCTGTTTCTTGCAGAGTCCAGTTCTGAGTTGTTTGGCATGACTGTTAATAAGAGTTCCTATTGATCTACTCACTCATGAAACATGATTTATTTTAGTGCAAATTTGCCATTACTAATCAAGGAAGAAGAAAATTAACTGGTCGCAAAATATGATTCAAATGTATTAATATACTGTACTCTATTGTGTATAGGAATGTAAGGATGGAGCTACAATGGGGCCAAGTGACAAGTATTCCCAAGAGGACATTAGTTAGGGTCCCACTGAGTTACTCTGGATACTCTGAATGGCTCTGTAGACTACAATGATGTAATCTATATGGATCATTATGGATTGTCTAGGACATTCACATTACATGAAATCTTGAATGCTCTGCATTTTCAATGAGGAAAACTTCTCAACATTAGCTAAGATGAAAATATAAATAAAGAGTATGTGTACCTGTTCTTTGCATCTCTCTCTCTCTCTCTCTCTCCCTGTGTCATATATATATACTGTATATGCAAAGAAACCTTAAAGGATTTCTGTAACACATTATTCACTAATATTGTATTATTTTAAAGAATATCTATATCTATATATATATATAAATAAAGAGTATGTGTACCTGTTCTTTGCATCTCTCTCTCTCTCTCTCTCTCCCTGTGTCATATATATATACTGTATATGCAAAGAAACCTTAAAAGATTTCTGTAGCACATTATTCACTAATATTTATTATTTTAAAGAATATATATACAGTATATAGATAATCCACAATACTGATTTTTACTGTGGGTTTATCTGAAAATAGGCATGAAACTACCTGTTTCACATATTCTGCTTTAATGTGAACTCTCCCATCAAAGCAGGACGTGGAGCAGTCCCCCTCCTACAATTCTGGGCAGCACTGGGAGATTTCATCCTGCTGCTGCCAGAACCAGGGTTGGAACAGCCTCATCTGCTCACCATGCTGGCAATAAGGAGATGCTGGAGCTGACCCCTTCTGAGCCAAAACAATGCCACCAGCCAGCCACTGCCAAGGTGGCTAGAAAGCCTTCCCAACATTTCCTAGGCAGCCACAATGTTGGAGAAGTTCCAACAGATCCATATTTGCCACATGTTGAGCTCAAACCCTGGCAATGTCAACAGCTAAGAAGCCTTTAAGTACTAGCTGACTGGGATGGAAGCCCTGGTGTGAATTAAAAATGGCACCGACGTGCACTTTTAAACCCATACCAGATTTGAGCCATGTGAAAAAACCAAAGTCACTGTGAATCAACTTTGGGCCTTCCTGAAAGTGTAGTTGCAGCCAATGACGTATGAGGGAAACATTAATTTCTTTTCTCAAGCATTACTTTGATTTAATTAATTGCATTGCTAAATATCTCATAAATATAAACCACTACAATATATTTCTCTTATGTGTTCATATTAAAACCAAGATAGAAAAGTATATTTAAAAGTTACTGCTTTTTGCACTTTTTTTTTCTATTTTCAGATACAAGATTTTAAGATTAGTCTATTAGACAAAAACCACTGTGGTAAAGTGGCATATAAATATATTTTTTTAAAAAAAAAAGAAAAGAAAAATATTTACTACATGTTTCTTCCTATGCTTCTTAAGGTTTGCTTCAAACGACACCTGATGACTTTTGTTTCTACTATGCAAGAAAAGATAGTGGATTATGCTTTCCGGATTTTCCAAGAAAACAAGTTCGAGGACCAGCTTCTAACTATTTGGACCAGATGGAAGAATATGGAAAAGGAGAAGATATCGGCAGGTCCATACTATTTAATGTTTAAAATCTTATGATACTTTATGATTTTGACAGTTGAGTCGATCTGTCCTTTTGCTCCTCAACTGTGTCATCCAGATGTTGCTTTCTCTTGTGCTTGCTTTGTAATATGCTGAATACTTTTATGATACATACTTGGTTAATGATTCCTCGGCTTAGTGCTGGATCAAATACATTGCAAATGTCTTACTTGAAATGTTATCTAAATGTAACTGTTGCAAATTGGATTTCTCCTGATTTGTTCTAAACAAATGGGTCCAATTTTTCTTATTGTCTCTCTTCACCATTCTACACCATCAATTATGACACAGACCAGATTAGTTTTCATGCCCTCCATTCCTTGAAGTCACTTGTACCTTAAAAGTCTTCCTGGAGGATTCTGGAGCACATCTGAGCACTGTGGAATCAGCCACTGGGGGCAGAGGGGACTTCCATCCACCATGGTTCAGGAAAACCACCTGACTGTCCAGACTGTTTTTTTCAGGACCATATAGGTGGCTGCAGGAAGGAAGAGGAAACAGGATAGGAAATTTCCCTTCTATGACCTCCTTAATTTAAATGATCTTAGGATCCAAGCATGGGACTTTTGATGCCTCCTCCTATGCAGAATATGCATGTCTAATTTTTCCTAATTTATTGTTACATCCCTTCTATTTGTGCGCCATAAGGTGTTTCTGGGCAGCACTGCCATAATTAATATCCTCTACAGGACAGAACACAGGAAACTTAATATACTATCGTGATATTTGCTTTGTTTGTAAATGTACATAGCATGATGCAAAGAAATAAACATTTCTTCATCAGACAGCATATTCCTGGGAGAGGTATACAGCTTCACGGCTGCATCTACAGTTTAAGCTAATTCCAGCCTATACATTCTCTACTATATATCCAATCCCATCCTCTTCTTAAAACTAAAAACATGTTTGTCGGGTCTGCTTGTTGCTCCTCTACTGCCTGGAGCAGTGTCATCTTCTGCAGAGTCTAATAGTAAGTGTTAAGAGAGAATCTCAGGAATTAGGAAGCAATTCTCTTATTTGTAACTGTTACAGAGGAAATGCATCCATTAGCTAACAGTCTGACTGAGAAAAGGATAGACAGCTAACAGCTGTAGCGCTATGTTAGAATATCCCTATCATTTGCTTCCTATTGGATCTAAACCTCTTTCATCTTCATATATGTGATGCCAAGTATTATCTTTGCTTATTCTGCTTAATCTATGTGATTGGGAGGAGTGGAAGTTTTTATTTCCTGCTAACCTGTAACTGGAAGAAAAATGTTTTTGCTTACGTTTTTTAGGAAACATAAACATAACTGCTTTTGCATGCATGAAGTGGTAAGTGGCTTGAGGCAACCTGTTGGAGCAGTACACTCTGGAGATGGATCACAGCGCCTGTTCATCCTTGAGAAAGAAGGATATGTGAAGATTTTCACACCTGAAGGAGAACTAATTAAGGAGCCATTTCTGGACATCCACAAACTTGTACAAAGTGGAATAAAGGTTAGAATCTCTTTTTATTTATCATTGACATCTCACTGTCCTTTTCATCTACTTGTACAGAACATTTGCAACAGTTTCAAATTTTGTTTAATTTTAACCTTTGTTTAAAAAAAAATAGGATGCTTTAAAAAAGAGTGCTCAGTTAACCAAAGAGAGAATGTTCCTTTTCTTCCTTTGGTTTCAACACAGTGCATGAAATCCTGTTGCATAGCTCTGCATGTGCAACACAAAACTGCAGCAGTGCATGAAATCCTGTTGCATAGCTCTGCGTGTGCAACACAAAACTGCAGAACCAGTTCAGAAAATAGAGGCACAGCAGAAGTGCTATTCACAAAGCACTTCTGTGTGTGTGCCACGCAACAGTTGTGATGAGGACCATATGACTGATTGTGCAATGAAATCATACAGTTCTTATTGCCTGGGTCTAGTGTTGCATTACATGAAGACAAACAGGATTTTCTCCAAAGAGCGTTAGCCCTGCTTAGTAAAATAAAGATACAAAGGCAGCAAGAACCCTTTATTAGCACATCCCTACCTGTAGATTTTGGTTTTCATTTTGTTTTCATGAACCAGCACAAATAGGCCATTGAGCTTAAGTGGCTCAAGAGCCAGTTTAATAGTAGGGAACATGCTTTGTATGACTAAAGTGTCTAGGTTCATTTTTTGGCATCTTCAATTATAAGGACTCGAGAAAGATCTATCCTTGAAAGTTTCTAGAGCTGCTGCCAGTAGATACAATTATCCTGGCTGGTCCTGCAATAAAATGTTTTATTTTACCTGCAGTATTACTATAGCTTAAATGATACCAGAAGTATATAATTTGGATCCAACCCATTTTTCATTCCCATAAAGATGATGGTCTTGATAGATAATCTCTACAAAAGCAGTTTTGTTCCTCAAGGTTTTTATTTCTTGACACTCACCATTGCCAGTCATTCTGGTTGCTCAATACAGAAGGGGGAGCTCTCACTGCATCAGCTGTTTAAAAGGATAGCTCTTGCTTGGCCTTTCCATACTTATTAGATACTGCTCTGCTTTCCTGGGTAAAGTATCTTGTGTGCCAATCTTTCTCTTATTCCACAATGTATGTTGAATGGTAAACTCCTGAGAGGAATATTCTCTTTGTATGAGGAAAGATTATGACATTCATCTGTGAGGAGCAGAAACCTCATTAAACTAAGTGAAAGGATTTTTGTCAAATTCAGTGGTGCTAAACTGGAAACAGAGCAGTGATGTGATATTGTTATTCCACGGTATGCTAGCTTCCAATATAGTACACTGCAGAATAAGTAAATTGAATTAAGAGCTAAGTACAATGTTAAGGAGCAACACAAAGCAATGATGTATATTCTGAGTATGTAACTCTGGGGGTTCTAATTTTACAATATCATACTAGATTTTACTTTCCAAGAACATTGTTCAATGCAGTTCAACTGATTCAACAGCCAAAGCTCTAAATAAGTTCAAACACAAAATGGCATGTACAGTCAAACCATATTTAGCATATGTGCATCTGTGTTAAAATTTGGAGATCATCTGGCTATGTAGAATTCTAATGTAGGAGAAATGAATCCAAACTACAATTGGTTTGTGTTCCTGTGTACGTGGGATTAATGGGGGATTCCCCAATATTAACCCATTCCAATTGTATTTATTGACATACCAAACTATGATGAAGGTACGTCTGCCAGTTCTTAAGCCCCTGAAAAGACTTTATCAGCCAGAAATGAAGGCCAATTTTCTCTTCCCTATCTCTTTTCCCTTTTCTATTAATTTGATTGGGAGGGAGAAAAACTGCAGCAGCTTTAGAGGTAGGATGGACTCTTCTCTTGTTCTAAGGACACGTCTTGGCTATTAGAGCCAAGACCTTCCCCAACAGGTTGCTTATGGGGCATCAAAGGGTGGAAAACTATTGTGGTAGAGTTTTCGACTGGAAGTAATGAAAATATTTCCATAGTAGACTTTTCTGTTCCCTTGCAAATTTAAAAATTCTCATCAAATGACAAAGATCATATGAGTTTTGAGAGACCTTCCCAAGGACTACAGGATTTCATCCTTTACATTATTTACCTACTAGGATAACCAACCTCTTTATTCCATCAAAAAATTAATGGAGGTTGCTTACAATGATCAAGGGACTGCAGCAACTCCCTAAGAGGAAAGGTTATGGCATCTATTCCTGAGGAAGTGTGACTACTAAATTTAGCTTAGAAAAAAAGAACAAAGAGAGATATGAATGAGTGGTGTGAAATTACGTATGGTGCAGGAATATAGACAGGGAGATTCTGTTCTCCCTCCGTTATACAACTAGAACCTGTGATCATGCAATAAAGCTGAATGGAGGAGAAGCAGGACATGAAAATAAGAAGTACTTTTTCACAAAAGGGACAGTTAAACCATGGAATTCATAGTCATAAGATGGTGACTGCCAACATGAGTACTGTAAGAGGGGATTTGATTCATGGAGGTTGTGGCCACCAATAGCTACCAGTCAGGATAGGTACAAAACACCTCCAGCATCAGAGGCAGTATGCTTCTGTATGGCACTTGCTGGGCAGTACGTTAGATAGTGTTATTGCACTCATGTCCTATAGGTGGACTTCTTATACGCAACTGGTTCTTCACTTTGAGAGTGCTGGGGTAGACAGACTTCTCATCTGACCAGCATGGTCTTTCTCCTGTGCAAAAGTTCTTAACATTCATAACAAAAATGATCAAATCATAAAACTTCCATATATTTGTGTCACAAACCATATCATAAAACAGTTCTTGGTATCGGAAGTACAAACAATCAAATTTTCAACACTTTCAATTTTAGCATCCATTTCATCAGTTCCTGACATGCTTTTTGAACTTCTTAAATCTAAAGCAGAGTTTAAGGATTTAGTGGGAAGAGTTATTTCAGGGATATGTATCAAAATCTTTAGCAATGTATGGGCCAATACTATGGATTTCATTATCCTCAGCATAATTTAGGCTGTAAACCTGTTGACTTAACTTGACATTAATCACAATCACTAATTTTTCAGTTAAAATTTACAGGATTGCATATCAATTCCTCTTTATGATACAGAAATGCCAGCAACATAAATTTTGTATAATGTATCCAGGCATAAAAATATATGACATTATTGTTGACCTGCTGTATCTTTCACACCATGAGTATGTACTAGGATATAGCAATGCTAGGTTATATTATTGTGGATATAAAACTTTAGTAGTGAAGAGAATAATGAAAATTTTACTGTTGTCAATGGTTAAAGATTAAATGCAGTGATACACACTTTAAGAAGGCAAACCTGTACTTTAAAATGAGCATTTGCATGTTTTTGTGATTAAACATGCAGTATTGTTTATTTATTGCATACTGGTTGGTGACAAATGTACAGTACATTGGTATGGAACTCTAAGATCTGCAAAAGAAATGTTCTACAAGATAAGGCTTCCCACTTCTCCTTAGGCAGTTTGAACTGTAGAGTATAGAGCAAAACGCGTGCCATGGAAACTTAGAAAGCTGTTGTATCAAAGTGATATTGCATTGAGATCAACCATTTAAGAAATGATAGTAGTGTTTTAGTAATAAATCTAATGAAAACAACATGACAAAAGCACAAAGCCTCTGAGGAGAATAAAAGAAACCCCTATGAAAGAGAAAACATATGTCAGGGAAATGAATGATACTGAAGATATGCTGTTAAGAATATATGAGCTAGACTCCTTGACCTCAGCCACCTTCTGCTCCCCTCCAGGCTATGAATTGTTTTTGCTTGTCACTATGGCTTAAATTTTAATAGAAAGTTTCCCTAAATCTTGAACCACATCTGCTTCTTTGTTTCTTTCCATAGTCAAATCCCCTAGTGAGGCTGGCTGTACATGCTTCAATGTTCCCCCTCGTTTCTCCTTCCCCCCCCACAGGAATTACAATATTTTTATATAATTCCTTTTGTAATCATTTCAAGAGTTTATAATTTGCCACTGTTGCAGATATAAAGCATTTCAACTATGTATGCCTAGCTCTGCAGTCAGTCTCTCTCCTTACAAGCACTCACATTGGGCCTATTATATTTTCTTCATTCCTAAAGATTTAAAACTGTTCCTGATAGTTCAATCTAGTGTAATATGTAACAAAAAAATAGGTAGGAGAATGATATGGTGGTACACGTTCATGGCTCTATTGTACTGAATGGAATTGTGGTTTTTAACACTGGTAACTATATTTAAAAGATTTACATATTTGAAATGTACATTTATCATTTTAGAGCAAGAGTGTGACCAACAAAGGAATGTGAAGGTAAATAAATAAAGACCATCAAATTACAAAGCACAGAAAGTTAGAATAATTTGGTCATGTAATAAGAAAGAAAAAATTACAGATAGTTACAGCTGACCGTCTAGGGTAAGTTAAAGGAGGAAAGAAATGGATGGTGGAGAAGAACTTGTTAGTTGAAAAGCCTTAGGGAATCCCTTGAAGAAAGAAAGAAAGAAAGAAAGAAAGAAAGAAAGAAAGAAAGAAAGAAAGAAAGAAAGAAAGAAAGAAAGAAAGAAAGAAAGAAAGAAAGAAAGAAAGAAAGAAAGAAAGAAAAAAAAAAAGAAAGAAAAAAAGAAAGAAAGAAAGTGTGTGTGTGTGTGTGTGTGTGTGTGTGTGTGTGTGTGTGTGTGTGTGTGTGAGAGAGAGAGAGAGAGAGAGAGAGAGAGAGAGAGAGAGAGAGAGACCCTCCTCATGTTTTCTGCTTGTCTGATATTAAAAACAGCAACATTTATAGGAAAAATAATTGTTGGTGCAGATGATAAAGAACCAGAATCAGTGAAAGAGTCGCCACCACTAGCACCATTACAAGCATCTTACATCTAAAAAAGGTTAGATGACTTTAAGGTGTGATTGAGGGTAAATGAGTCAATGACTACTAGTGTGATGGTTATGTGCAGTTTCCAGTTTTAGTGGCTATATGTTGTTGAATTCCAGTTGCTAAGGCGGAACACTTGCAGACAGCTGATCTCAT